TTTTTTTTTTTTATTGTTCTCTGAGGAAAATAGGCTCTGCCATCTTAGATTCTTCTCTTGTTCATGAGGACTCACTACCCTGGTGCTATTTATTCCTTAAGCTCAACACACAGTTGTTAATTCAACATATTTCTACTTTTCTATAAGTAAAATCGTCCTTATTCAGGAATCTCTTGCAGTGTTGTCTGCTAAAATGTACCTCGTTTTGAGAGCAGAGCTGAACAAATCATTTTTAACCTAGGTTAAGGTAAAATATTCTGTGTATTCTTGTAAAATTGCTAACTTTCTTCCTGCATTAACAGCTGGAATAGAACTATTTTAATGTCACCACATACACCTCTGTGTTTTCCTAACTCAGCTAAATTCCTGAAACTCTTTCCTTAAATGATTTCTGTCTTAAATGTTTGGTCCACAAATTTCTTTGCACATAAGCAAGTTCACACTGAAGTGTTAGAAACAACACTGATGACTAATAAAAAAGTAATAAGGGACTTTGTGGGGCATTCAGCTTTAGTCTGTTTAACTTTTACTAGGTCCAGGGTTCAGTGCCTGTACCTGGCCAGCCACCACAAACAAACAAACAAAAAAAAACCTTTGTTAATTTGCATTACTAAAGTTAACTGCATTGTATGTACCAAGGCATTTTGTCAAATTATATTTGAACTAGATTAGAAAAAGCATTGTTTTTATTTATGTGTGTTTTATTATGTGATACATATGTGTGTGTGTGTGTTCATGTAGTAGCAACCATACCCATTTAAATGACATAAGTGAGGAGTTCAATTTTTTATGTTTTTTGAGTAGGAAATTATCTAATTATCTTCTTTCCATACTGCTGCTGCTTATATTCCCTTTTTTCCTACTGCAGAGAATCTTTGGAGTAATTATCTACCCAAGGGAGAGATCATTGAAAAGCCCTCAGCCAAATCATCTGATGTCTCAGGCAGTTTAAACCATGAATATGTTCTTGTTGACATCACCACCTCCTTCACTCTTCTGGTAGGGATCTTCTTTCCCTCTGTCACAGGTAAGCAGATGGGCTGTTGTCTGTTTTAGAAACTATCAGACCGAGGGGGTGATTTTTCTCAGAAGACAGAATTATGTTCTCAGGGTTCCTCAATTTGCCTATAGTCTTTGGTATCAGTGTGAATATCAAAGTCTTCAGGAACTCAAGAAGTTAACTTGTTTTTTTACCCCCTCTCTAAAGGCATCATGGCTGGATCAAACAGATCTGGGGATCTCAAAGACGCTCAGAAGTCCATTCCCATTGGCACTATCCTTGCCATCCTGACCACCTCCTTTGTCTGTATCCTTTTCATGGATCTAATCTGAGTCTTAGTCATAGGAACATACAGTAGAACTAGGGTGATGAGTATTTTTATCCTAATAAGGATATCTGCTTTCCACGACTTCACTTCTTGCCAGATAACCTGCCCACCTCATACACAAAATTCAAGAAAGAATTTATAGGATTAGTGAATTTAATAACTAGTTTTACTGATAGAAGAAATATCCTAAGTGCCTACTTTCTATCTCATGTTGGAGGATAAACAGCCATTTCCTTGACTCTTAATATGGTAGATTTAAGCAATGTTGTCCTTTTTGGTGCATGTGTTGAAGGGGTTGTTCTCAGAGACAAGTAAGTAGTTATTTCTTGTAACAATTCTGTGTCTATCTTTCATGATTTGTGATCATCCCACATAGCTCCAAGACAGTTATAAAGTCAAAAACCCACCCTGAGGTATCAATTATGACTAACAATTAGAAAATATACGTATATAGCTCACAAACAGATTAGTGAATAATAAGGGCCAATATGTTGTTATAAATATGTGAGACACAATGAATATAGCTCTTCAAAAAGGGAGCGAATCTGTCTGAATAAGGATTTCCTTGTATATTAAGAACTGTTGGAAAACTGGACCAAAAGTAAAGGAGGGCAAGTAAAAAGAGAAAAGATTTTAAGCATCTTTTTTTGTTTGTTCATTTGTTGTTTTTGGCAGTTGGCCAGTACAGGGATCAAACCCTGGACCTTGATGTTATCAGTATCATGCTCTAACCACCTGAACTAACCAGCCATCCCCTGTCTTTAGCATCTTCTCTATAAGATAAATACTTATCTAATTCTATTTGGCATTCTAAATAAAAGCCTGAAACTTACTTTCTTCATTTCCTTCATGACAGCTGCTGAGTGTTTATTTTTCCTTTCCTCTCACCTATGAGTATAAAATATGTTTTTGCAAGAAATTCCTAGACAGATCTTTCTCAAAATATCTTATTGTATGTAATATTGTTGAACCCTGGTTGACTGCAGTTAACAAACCATGGAAAGTGAAACCACAGATAAGGGGGGACTATTGTAATATAACAATTATTATTGACAATGAAAATTGGAATACCACTTTGGAAAGCTACTGGTCATTATCTCCTGTAGTCAAATATGCACACACCTATGACTCCACAATTCCACTTCTAGGTATATCCAACAGAAATGCATGCACATGTGCATGAAGAATCATACACAAGAATTCTCATAAAAGAATTAAAGGTTTTTATGATCAAATTAAAAGTCAGAATAATGGATAGTGAGGAAGAAGAAAGGGCATGTGGACATTAGAGAGACTTTTGGGTGTGGCAATGATTTCTTTCTTGACCTGTATGGCGGTTCCCGGGGCATTTGCTTTGTGGAAATTTATTGAGATGTACATTTATTTTTTGCACATTACTTTTTGTGTGTAATACTTAATAAAAAATTGTTAAAACTATAAAAAACAGAGAAATGCCATGTTTCACCATTCAAATTAGCAGTGTCTTTGAAATTTATATTTTAATGCTCAAGGCTAGCATGGAGTGTGTATGTGCCATTAGACTTGCACCTTCATATACTTCCAGTGGGAGTACAATTTAGTGTAACATTCTGGAAGGCAGCCTGGTAGTGCTTTTGAGATGTTTTAAGGTATTGATCTCTTTTGTTACAGTTATTCTTTCTTAGGAATCTGCCAAAAGGGGAAGGAAAAAAAAGTCTGGTGTGAATGTAGATATGTACATAGATATGTTAATTACAGTATTTTGTATAATAGAAAATCAACACTACAAGAATATATAATGTAAGTTATAATGCAATATTCAAACCACTACCAATTGTTTTTCATAGTTTTTCATGACAGGAAAATGCTTACATTTAAAAAGAATAAAGAATTATAGGTACAGAAGATCTCATCTATGTTTTTAAAAACATGGTAAATAGACTAAACTATGCAAAGTATGCAAATGTTAAATATTGTTAAAATTATGAATTTCCCCTGCTTTGTTGTATTTTTCTATACTTTTCCAATTTTCTCCAGGAGCAGATATTTTGAGAATCTGAAGCGGAGAACTGTAATTGAAGCTTAGCTTATTTTCTAGCCCTGTAGGTTGTTTTTTTTCTTAATATATGTCAACAGTGCCTTTTTATCAAATCTATCTTCCTTTACATTTCTTAATATTCCTGTCTATCTCAACTTTGATTCTCTAAAAATTTTAAATAGAAAAAACTGGGTGAATGTCTCTTTAGTCTTTCAGTCTAAAGTTATTTCCAGATTTAATTCCCCTACTCTTGTTTCTTTCCCAGGTTCGGGGATGCTGTGAAAGGTAATTTGGTGGTGGGCACCTTATCATGGCCATCCCCATGGGTAATTGTTATTGGTTCCTTCTTTTCAACGTGTGGGGCTGGACTTCAGAGCCTCACAGGGGCACCGAGGCTGCTACAGGCTATTGCTAAGGATAACATCATACCATTTCTGAGGGTGAGTGACCTTTTCCTATAGCCTCTTCTTTTTTACTAGGTTTTATGAGGAAACAGTGTAGTCTTTGTGGGCTTAGACATTACTAGATCATAAATGCGGAGACGTGGGTTTTTACTACAAGATCCTCTAAATCCCTAGTTTAAGTTTATATGTGATTGCTGTAAATGTGTTTAAAAGATACCACCATTGTAACACTTTCAGGCATCTTTAAGATATCTAAAACTGTAGGATAGAGAAATCAGGGAGCATTGACTCAATACTTCTGTGCCTGACATTTTTCCTTCTATGTATAGGTTTTTGGTCACAGCAAAGCCAATGGGGAACCTACCTGGGCTTTACTTCTAACTGCTGCCATTGCAGAGCTGGGAATCCTTATTGCCTCCCTGGATCTTGTGGCCCCAATTCTTTCCATGTAAGAGCTAGTTATTGTCTTCAGTTGTTCTTACTTAAATGATATATAATACATGTTGATTTCCATCAGTCATATAATTGTAGTGATAACAGAGTGGGCAAAATACAGGTGTAAATTCATTTAAATAATAAATATTCCTGAGAATCTTCATGTATAAGGCTAACTTTTATAAATTATTATAGTTTTTTCCTACCTGTGTGACTTCAAAAGTTCTTTGCCTTCATTTCTGACTCATTATCAATTGGTTATAGCTTTTACTACTACTGTTAGCTTTCATTCATATACCTGTGACTTATTCATGACTTACTATCTCCTTGGCACTGTGAAATACGCTGAGAATACAAAGATGAATAAGATACAATCTTTTTTTTTTTCTTGGTGGCTGGCTAATATGGGGATTTGAACCCTGTACCTTGGTGTTATCAGCACCATGCTCTCCCAAGTGAGCTAACTGGCTAGCCCATCACACAGTCTTAAGGAACCGATGATAGAAAAGGAATCCAGTGATCCCTGGATAGCATGATGAATGCCATGGCAAAGCTGAACACTGGGTATCATAGAAGCATGGAAGTGAGTCATCTGAACAGACTGGGATTCAAGAAAGATTTTCTCGAGGAAATGACAATTGTTTCTTAAAGAATAACTGGTTATTTGCTTAGAAAAGAAAGGGTGAAGAAGGTTCCAATTAGGGAATGCCTAAAAGGAATTGAGGAATAAAACAATGTAGCACATCCAGAGAATTGAAAGTAGTTTGGCTTGGCCAGAGTGGAGGACATGTTGGGGAGTAGCAGGTTAGAGAAATATGTAGAACCAGATAACAAAGGACCTAGAACTTTTACCTGGAAGTAGTGGGTGTTCCTTTGAGAACAAAGTGATCATATATATGTTTTAGAATGATCAATTTGGTATAAAAGATGGTTAGAAGGAGACAAAAATTGAGCTGCAAATGCTGATTGGAAAGAAATAAGAGCCTGAACTAAGGTGGTGGTAGCAGTAATAATAGTAGAAGTTTAGAAATTTTTAAATAGGTAGAATCCATAGGACTTAGTAAATGAATTTGGAACAAGAGTGAGTAAGGAAGAGGAAATCTGGATTATCCCAAAAAGAACCGAGTAAACAGTAGTTGTGTCATTGACTGAGTGTGAGAACATAAGAGGATGAGCTAGTTTGTCAGAAGAGGTTTGTTTCTTGACTTCCTATTTAAATCAAGGGTTAATAGTCTAGAGACAGGCTTCAGTACAGCAAAGGTCCTTAGTTATTTAAAATAACCTTAAAAGAATCATTTTATAATAATAATCATTCCTCTTACTCTTTTTATTCTTCCAGGTTTTTTCTCATGTGTTACCTCTTTGTGAACTTGGCATGTGCCTTGCAGACATTACTTCGAACCCCCAACTGGAGACCCCGATTCCGCTACTACCACTGGTAAGTCTGGGTTTTTTTTCCTTCTTTTTCCCCCACATTTGGAGAGAACCCATCATCAAACTAGAAAACTAGGGAGATTCTGTGTTCTCCATGCAATTTTTTTCTTGGCCATCCATTCCATACTGTCTGTCTCATTGTTCAGTTCTTGAATGCACTCCCTCCTATCCCATTTTTAGCTATCTCAGTACAAAATAACTTATAACACCCACTGAGGATAAAGATCAAAACTATAAATATTTCTAGCCTGCTACATTCCTCAGGTTAAAATTTCCCTTTTCTTGTCGATTTTCTCATCTCCCTCTTGGCTAAGCACTGGATAAGAAAAGGACTTATCTCTTTCTGGGGTTTTTTGGAGGGTTTTATGTGTGTGTGTTTGTTGTTGTTTTTGTTTGTGGCAGCTGGCCGGTTCAGGGATTGAACCCTGGACTTAGTGTTATCAGCACCACACTCTAACCAACTGAGCTAACCAGCCAGCCCATCCCTTTCTGTCTGTATTCTCATATTCTCATCAGTTTTCATCGTCAAACTCTCTTCCTTATGACAATTTAATTTACTAGTTAAGAATGTGAGCAGTGGAGTCAGGGGATCCAAGCTCAGATCTCACCTCTACTATTTCCTAACTTTGTAACCATCAGCAAAGCACATATCAAGTAAAATTTCATTTTACTCATTTGTATAATGGGACTAATAAATCTGAAGTGCTTAGCATGGTACCTGGTACATAGTAAAGCTCTCAATGAAATGCAGCTGCTGATGTTGTTGTGGTTAAATCTTCCCAGTTCTGAAGGAGCCATCAAAATTTTTTAGCTACCATCCATCTCTTTCCCATCTCTTTTCTCTCATAGCTAAGAGCTCTTTAATTATGTCCTGTATGTACTTGTTGCTACGTTCCTCTTTGCTATCTCCTTGATCTCTTTCTGGTTTCACCTACCAATGGTAGGCAGTGATGTGACCTTTACCTGACAAAATTTAGATCTTCAATTGATTTTAACACCTCTGATCCTCTTTCTAGCTTTAACTTTAAAGTTCATTATGAACATTTCTTTATGTTGTTTTGCTTCTAATATTTTTTCCTCTTTCTCTTTACCTTATATTTTCATTAGATACTAATCTTCCCCAGATTAACAACTCTCCTGTTTATTCTTTAAAATTTATCATAGAGCTAGGAAGTTCATTCTGTACACAAAAGAACTTCAGTAAATGTAGTTGTCTACCTAATTTATTGATCAAAACTAGCACATAACTCTCTGTCATGTTTCTCTTAGGTACAGTAAGAAATCTAATGGAGCTAGCCAGTTAGCTCAGTTGGTTAGAGTGCAGTGTTCTAACACCACAGTCAAGGGTTCACATATTCTTATTGGTCAGCTGCCAAAAAAATAAATAAGAAAAGAAAACTAATGGCAAATTCTTCTCAGTGATTTTTGCAGTTACACTAATAAATGTTCATAAAAATTTTAGGAATATTTATATGAAAATTTTTAAAAGATCTTAGAGTTATTAACATTTCTGACTTCATGTCCCATCCCTGCTTTGCCAGGTGGGTATTAATCGTCCTCATAACCACAGATGACTTTAATAGAACCCCCAATTCATTTATATGTTTTTCCAGCAGTGGGAAACATCCTCTAGTAGAAAGGATGGTTTAGGCCTTGGTGCAGTTCTACTGATGGTTGCCAATCCATGATAAGACAACTGTAGAAACTGAGAATAAACATTTAATGTTGAACTTTCAGAAGGAGAGAACAGACCTGTAGTTTCTAGAGGCTGGAAAGGGGAAGAGAGGGGGGGATTAGGGAGTAATTGGGTAAGGGACACAAAGAATAATTATCATTTTGTAATGATGAACATGTAGTAATATTGATTTATCACATACTGTACACAAATAGTTCATAGTCAACTCTGTACCCCATAAATATGTATAATCAATTACGTTTCAATTCTAAAATAAATTTTTTTAAAAAAGAATAAACATTTAGAAACTCTTGCAGTAATTCAACATTGCCACAGCATCCAGGAATGTGATAATATTTCTAGTAGTTTATTTTTACTGCATGTTATAAAAGTTCTGTCTGTAATAGATTGGAAATTTTAAAAAAAAATTCCTCACCACAGATAGTTTAAGAAGCACCTCTGGGCTAACCACTCAGCCAGTTAGAGTGCAATGCTGCTAAGACAGAGGTCAAGGGATCAGATCCCTGTACCAGCCAGCCCCAAAAAAAAAAAAAAAAAAAATTACCTCTATAGCATAGGCTTTTTTCTTAGCTGCTTAGAAAGACACTTTTTTGTTTGTGTTTTGTTTTTAATTTTCTAGGGCCCTCTCTTTCATGGGAATGAGTATCTGTCTGGCTCTGATGTTCATTTCTTCCTGGTATTATGCCATTGTAGCTATGGTAATAGCTGGTATGATCTACAAGTACATTGAGTACCAGGGGTGAGTATGAATTTGACCTTGATCAATATTAAAAGTATCAAGACTGGCTAGTTTGGTTAGATCCAGCTCAATGAAAATTATATGAAGGACACATATAATTTTGTCCATAACCAAATTTTGCACCCTAATTCTCTTAACCTTCTTGCAGATGCAAGCTTTTCATCATAAGGGGAAACTGTTGAGAAAGTATGAATGGATCAATGAAAAATAACTAAATAATAATGATCAGTATTAAACAAAGCATAACACAAATAGAAATATTTTTGCTATCTCTTCAGTCAAAGGATTGTCTCTGAAATGAAAAAGAAATTAGTCCTGAATAACTTTGTACAGTTAAGACCTCACTGACAACTTCTAAAAATGAGGAATAAATAACATTCTGATTCAGCAAATTACACTGAATTTTGCTTTCTCCCCATTATTTTCAAGATAACTTAAACTCCGGGACTCTAATAATTTACTAGTCCAAATTGCTATTTTAAATTATTGCTTTTGAATAGTTATATAGAGGACCAAGGAAGTGACCCTTCCAGCCTTTATTCTGAACTGTTAATGCAGTGCAGTCTGTTGGTGCAACCCTTAGTTTTGATCTGCTTACAGTGAGTTCATTATGTTAGTAAAGAGCATAATGTAAATCATTAATATGAGTTTTAATCTTCTACCTTGTGCATGTTATTTAGATTCAGAAATAAACTATTTTTTTTAAATTATATGAGTACTTCTTATAGTTTAAATATGTCTGTGTTCTTTTCTTCTTTTTCTCCCAGAGCCGAGAAAGAATGGGGTGATGGTATTCGTGGGCTGTCCCTCAGTGCAGCCCGGTTTGCTTTGCTTCGGCTGGAGGAAGGCCCTCCACACACTAAAAACTGGAGGTATATAAATGAACAGAACTTAGTGGTGTTTGGGAGATAGAGAACGCACAAAAATGTTTGCTTTGTTGATTATAGGATAAGGAAATCTTGTGTGTCGAGGAATTGGTATAATGGACCTGTTTTGAACTATCCCAAGTCCTTGATTCCTTTATTCCCTTTCTTCATGTGACTTATGATCTAGATTTCTACCATTTGATATTCTTACTTGAATACTGTTCAATTTGAGATAATACTGGGAGCATTCAGAATAACTCAATACTCCTGTCAAATTACATATTTTATACAGATCTCCTGAATTAAAGGGTGGAATTGTCATTCCTGTTCCCCAAACCAAAAGTGTTTTCCCCCTCAATCCCCCACCAACCTCTTCACAGGCCTCAGTTGCTTGTATTACTGAAACTAGATGAAGACTTACATGTCAAGCATCCTCGCCTCCTCACCTTTGCCTCACAGCTGAAAGCAGGAAAGGGTCTCACTATTGTGGGTTCTGTCATCGTGGGGAACTTCCTGGAGAACTATGGCGAAGCTTTAGCTGCTGAGCAGGTAAGTCAAGACTTACTGACTTAGTGGAACTTAGCATACAACTTTGTGATGTGAAGTGGTAAGACTTCAGACTTCTAAGTTAATCCCTTTCCTGAGTGATCTAGGAGGTTTCCCACTTAGTGCTCACTTTTGAACAGTCATGTTCTCCAAAATAATAAGATGATCCAGAAGACAGTTATTTATTCCTTCTTATCAAAATTATCAAGGCTAAATGTTATTTCCAAATAGACTCCAAACACTGAACTGAAAAGTCATGTAAATAAATCTATCCCTTGAACTATGGAGGAGGACTCCTCTCAATCTTGGGGGCAATAAGCAGCTTTTCCTGTTTACTAGTCTATGAGGGTACTTCAAAAAGTTTCTGGAAGGATAGAACTAAAAGATAATACAAATCTCTCCATGAACTTTTTGAAATACCCTCGTATGTGATATCATAAGTAAGATTGCTTTGCTATTTTTGATTAGCTATACTTAATATTAAAGTTCTACCTGAAGAAGGAAAAGTTTTCACTCTAATACTATAAATGATAGAACTAATCCTATTGTTTGGAGAAATTTCCAACTGCATATCAAAAATTTTACTGGATTTCATTTTGGAATGCTTTGAAACCCAAAAACTAGAAATGTTGGAGAAACATTAGTCCAGAATGATGGTAAAAATAAATAAAAAGAGCACAGGATTGCAAATCAGGAGGGCCTGATTCATATCCTAGCTACACCACTGACTTAATCCAGGCCTATGTGAAAATCATATCCATTTTCCACACCATTGTTCCCTTCCCCTTTCCACCAAGAGGGTGGAGTAAATGAGATATTTCCAAATTGGCTCAACTAAATAAAAGAATAATAAAGTAGATACAAGTGTCATCAGTAATCACTATTAAAATGTCCAAAGAGAGGGCCGGCCCGGTGGCGCACTGGATAAGTGCACCGCTTGGGAAGCGCAGCGGCGCTCCCGCCCGAGGGTTCGGATCCCACATACAGACCGGTTCCCGCTCACTGGCTGAGCGAGGCGCGGGAGCAACACCGAGGGTTGCAATCCCGTTGCCGGTCCCCGGTCCGGTACGGGGGCAACACTGAGGGTTGCGATCCGTTGCCGGACACGGAAGAAAAAAAAAAAATGTCCAAAGAGATATGGGAATGGGAAAAGCAGAAAAGAAAGCATACCTTAGAAAATTCTAAAGTGAAATTGAATCATCAGATTGAGTTTCTAGGAAGATGAGTCAGGGCATGGCTGGAAGTGAGGAAGGAAGGAAATCATATTCACACTGGTGAACTCATCCTAGTCAATTAAGAATGTTGAGTACTCACTTTGAGGAGATCCCTGTTCTCAGTTTTTTGGTATGCTAAGGAAAAGTAGAATAGAGGAAATGGCAGAGAAACTACTTTAGAAAGTGAAAAGACAAAGGATGCGATGAAATTTTATTGGTACAATTTTAACTGCTTGGACTTTTCCAAGGAGATACAGTCTTATGCAGAGTTTGAAAAGATGAGGGGAGTAAAATATGGAGTAGGAATAATGGATTAAAAGATCCAGGGTGAAGTCATTCCGTGTTGAGGTCCTGTGTATCTTTCAGACCATAAAGCACCTAATGGAGGCAGAGAAGGTAAAAGGATTCTGCCAGCTGGTGGTGGCCGCCAAGCTGAAAGAAGGCATTTCCCACCTCATCCAGTCATGTGGCCTTGGAGGCATGAAGCACAACACAGTGGTGATGGGCTGGCCTAATGGCTGGCGCCAAAGTGAAGATGCCCGCGCTTGGAAGACTTTTATTGGTACTAAACATTTATCATAATAGGAGGGCCCAAGTAGGGGATATAGTTAAATCCCTGTCACTCTAACGCCACTTCCTAGTCTCCTATAGTAGAGACTATGCCACTGCTGAAGCATAATCTTATAAGGCCACCTAGAAAACTACTAGTAGTAATAACCTGATGCTACCCACCCTCTCCAGCTTTATATTGTGTTCATGAATTCTTTTTCAAGTCTTGTGCTAGCAACTATCTCTGAAAATATCATGTTTTCACTTATGATTTCCTGTGTTGACATTCTCACAGGAATTGGAGGAATTTTCCTTCAGCATCAAAGTCTTCCAAATTCATGTATCCCTACCCATTAGTCATCAGAATATGTATCTAGTAACATAAACCATGGTTCTCAGTCTAATTATGTTAGCTATTCAGATTTTTCTCAATGATTTTTGTTACTTAACGAGGTATAGCCTATTACATAAATAGGACAAAGAAATGTAAAAGAGCGTTACCCTTGCTTTCCTGACATGGTGGGAAATACCCAAGCCTACGGATTCTTTTCTGCTGATCCTGATTCTCTTTTTTTCTCCCTAGGCACAGTTCGAGTGACAACTGCTGCCCATCTTGCTCTGCTGGTGGCTAAAAACATCTCCTTCTTTCCCAGCAACATGGAGCAATTTTCTGAGGGCAACATTGATGTGTGGTGGATTGTGCATGATGGGGGGATGCTCATGCTATTACCATTCCTACTGAAACAGTACAAGGTATTTCAGACTTTTTTAAAATGTTGTTTTCCCTTCTGTACTGATTCACTAGACAAACGCTTCATCTTTGATTATATAGTGTTGAGGCTTAGAATCAGAATAGTTGGGGATTATTCTTAGTTCTGCCATGATCCCAGTTTCAACCTTATGAGAAGTAGTTTTTGTATTTGATACCCACCTATTTCCAAGTGAAATTCAGCAAATTTAATAAAGTTCCATATGACCCCTTGGGAAAAACAATAACAAGTGAACACGTCTTAAAAAAACGACAAAAAAATGAAGTCTCTGAAACACTGGAAACCTAAAGTATATGTAAGTGTGTGTGTGTATATATGTGTATCTCACACACATGTATCCTCATCCTTTGGTAAGACTAATTACACTGAAATTTAAAATAGTAAATATTACAGTCTACATGGTATCATCAGTGTGCTATCTGTATAAAGCACCTTCTTACTGTACCACACACCATCTTTTCCTTTTTGCTAGGTTTTCTAGTTATGAAATAAAGAACTCCTTAAATCTGTATTTAATGTGTTGCTTAGTCAGTCTTTTGCCCTAGTACAATAATAGCAAGTAGGAAGCCAGCAGCAAATACCCTTATACTATAGCAAGGTTGTTTTAGGCCACAATGCCTCATGTTTTAGGAAATAACTTTTTTTTTTTTTTGCCTTTTTGCTGTATGTACGGCACTCTCTCAGGTGTGGCGAAAATGCAGCATACGGATCTTCACAGTAGCCCAACTAGAAGACAACAGTATCCAGATGAAGAAGGACCTAGCTACCTTCCTATATCATCTGCGCATTGAGGCCGAGGTGGAAGTGGTGGAGATGGTAAGAAAGCTGAGTTTGAGACAGAAGAGACCTCCGTTTCCCTAGGCCCCACCCTTTCTTCCTAGAACCTTTTGTTTGGGGAAATTTGTTCAGCTGTAAATGTGAGTTAACCCCCCTAGTTCCAACAAAATCCTAATTTGTTGACGTGGATGAGTAGAATGTGTATGTGATGTGTATTTGGTGGTGTTTTTGGTTTTGCTTTCTTATTCATTTGTTTATTACACATCCCTTATATTTCTGCTAGATTATTATCAGTTTAATATAGTTTCATTAATTTTTAATTCACATATTCATGTTTAAAATCTCACGTGCTTAAAAAATTTTCTATAACCTGGCAGTATTAAAAAAAAAATAGACTAGAGTTTGTGTTTTATGTTTCAAGGAAAGACATTTAATGGTTAGATTATGGAAAAGAATCTCAGGACCTCTGGATTCTATCTGTAATCTAAAATAACATATTTATGTAGCTCAATGAAGAAAATAGGGGTGAAACTTAGATTGATACTGTGATACTTTTTGTGGTATAATTTAGTGAATGGAAATAAAATGTATGGTTGTACTGTTCATCTTTCTTTCTCCTTTGTGCTTTTTGCCCACTCTGTGTAATGTCTGTGGCAGCATGACAGTGACATATCAGCTTATACTTATGAGCGCACTCTGATGATGGAACAAAGGTCCCAGATGCTCCGGCACATGCGACTATCCAAAACAGAGCGGGACAGAGAGGTGAGACCTTGCTGCATTGATCTAATCCCAGACCTAATCCCAGTCTGTCAGTGAAAGGAATGGAACTATATTGCTTTCAGAGGTGACAAATATTTTCCTTCTCACTTTATCAGTTATTCCATTATAACCCCATTATTGTTTCAAAATAATTGAAGATGAAGCATGAGAGAAAATTAGGTAGAATAACTATGGTCGGATCTTCCTCAGGCACAGTTGGTGAAAGACCGAAACTCAATGCTACGATTGACAAGCATTGGCTCTGATGAGGATGAAGAGACAGAAACCTATCAGGAGAAGGTGCATATGACCTGGACAAAAGACAAGTACATGGCATCCCGAGGGCAAAAAGCCAAGTCAATGGAAGGATTCCAGGACCTGCTTAACATGCGTCCGTAAGTTTTCCCATTCCTATACTTGTCTCATAATACAGCACACAGGTGACTCTAGTCATAATACAGCACACATGTAACTTTGCCTGAAAACAGGCATATTATATGCATATTAGCTCCCATTTAACATTGTATGCAAAGTAAACATCTTCTTTCTCTCCATATAGTTCATTGCCATACTGTGTTCCTATAAAATAAGCAAATGTATAATGAGAAAACTGAGGATATTATCATAAGGAAGTCATTTTATCATATTATCCATAGTTATGCAAAAAAAAAAAAATGGATCTCAAATTTTTAAGGTTGACTATATAGCTAATTTTTCTGTGTGTCTAAAGTACCTCTGTTTCTTCCCCATCCAGGGACCAGTCCAATGTAAGGCGGATGCATACAGCAGTGAAGCTCAATGAGGTTATAGTTAACAAGTCCCATGAAGCAAAGCTAGTTTTGTTAAATATGCCGGGGCCACCCAGAAACCCTGAGGGTGATGAAAACTGTATCCTTTGCAAGAGTAGAGCTGCCAGTGGGGAAGATATTTTTAATCTTTTTTTTTAAGCCTTTTTCTTAGATGAGACGATTATTGTCTGTGCTCCACTTTCGCTCTTTGAGGAAGACTTAAAAGTCTTATGCAAAGATTCTTATAAAATCATGAGATTAATCCCTTTTTGTGGAGTTAGAGGTATAATATATTCTCTCCAAATCCTAAAAAGAATTTTTAGGTGGTATATTTGCAACATGACTTCTAATATTCAGCATATTAAACCCTTTCTGACGATCCTGCAGACAGAATACCCACATCCTTCCTCCTTTTCAAGTTCTCCCCATTTTGCAAAGCCTCTTTCTTTTGGATGGTGTTAGGGTAGAAGCTGTTGAGGTGAAATTTCCTTTAACTGAGAGAAAAGAGAGGCTCTTCCTCATACACTTATCCCAGGATTGTTTTTATGGGAACTCTTTGGCACCGCAACAGCATAGACTGGCCCATCCCACCAGTACTATTAAGGGAAAGAAGTTTACAAAAAAGAAATAGGAAAACTATTAGATCTGACTTGAGTACCTTCATTTAGAAATTACTTGGGTGCTCTCTAGGAATCTTATAAGCTGCCCTATTGTGGCTTTTCTTTTTAAAAATTATTTTTAGGCATTTTTATCTTATTTTGTCATTTAGAATAACATACCACCGTGGGTTTCCCCATTTTTTAAATGGCATTTAGAAAATATCTAACAAGTGGGAGTCTTGTATTATATATGCAAAGGGATTAGATGCCTTGATTACTTCACCGGATTAAACTGAATCCAAAGTTCAGACTTTTCTAATTCTGAGTATGTAATAATTAAGACGAGCGTACTCATTTTGCAGCTCTATAATCAGGTAAACTCATTATTATGAAGCCAGGTTATAAAGTGTGCTCGTCTTCTGCCAGTTTATCTCCTTGACAAACTCTGAAGACATGGAGTTCCTAGAAGTACTCACCGAGGGACTAGAGCGAGTCCTCCTTGTCCGGGGTGGTGGCAGTGAAGTGATCACCATTTATTCATAATCTACTTCTGAGTGACTCTTCTTGGCCTCACCTTTACTAAATGGCTTCCATCCTCCATGGAAGTTCCAGCTCTTTACTCTTTACACTCCCACTCAGCTACAGGCCTGTGTTCTCTACACATCACACTGAACTCTTGATGACCTAAGCCTCAAGGACTTGTGCAAAAGAATACAAATAGATTTGCTTTTTGCTCCCATATGATCTGCTGTCTTACAGAAGAAGCAAATACTCCCTCAACATCAGAACAATGATCAAGTCCTAAAAGCCATGTCTGTACCGGTCAAAGGCAAATTACAATTAACAAGCTAAGCCAATAAATGGATTGGTAAAGGGATGCTACAAATTCAACTGAAGACAAAAAGCAAATATATATCCAACATTAAAGATGAGTCTAAAGGGCCGGCCCGGTGGCGCACTGGACAGTGCGCCGCTTGGGAAGTGCGGCGGCGCTCCCGCCTGAGGGTTCGGATCCCACATACAGACCGGTTCCCGCTCACTGGCTGAGCGAGGCACGGGAGCAACGCCGAGGGTTGCGATCCTGTTGCCGGTCCCGGTCCGATACGGGGGCGACACTGAGGGTTGCTATCCGTTGCCGGACACGGAAAAAGACAAAAAAAAAAAAAGATGAGTCTAAGAAGTCAGAAAATAAGGGCAGAAAATAAGGTTAGTTTAGTGATGGCACTGTGGGGGTAACAGCTAGACACAGCCTCATCTTACTAAAGAATTCAAGGCCAAGTATATGGGGACCTGTTACCCTTGTGGAGATAACCTGTGGCAAGCCAAGATGGAAACCTTTTTTAGCTAATTTTCTTTAGTTGTACCCAGCACTCTCCAGGAGTCTAATTTTATATTAGGGTACTAATGTACAAAACCTGAAACATGGCTGTAGCCTCTACTTTGTTATTGAAAACAAGATTCCCCCAAGGTACCAAGTTTAAGCATCCATACTGTCAGTGTATATCTTAAACTATTATATTTTAATTCAGAACCCATTCTGTGTTGCCATAGAAATTGTCTTTTAAAAGGTAAAAATGATTTCTTCCAAGTTCTTTTCAAATGGCTAAACTAAGGAATTCCAAAAGGTAGCTATTAAGATTTATTGAAATACAGTCTATGGTTATCTACATGACATGGGCAAACATATATGCTGTTATCTCAGAAACATAAGTCATGATACACATTGGCCAGTAGGTTCTCTTTTCCTTATTTTTGTGCCCTCTGAGGGCACAGGTCAAAAAATCACAAGGATCAAACACTAGGAAGACTGGCTAAAATCCTTCTCTGAAAGCTTTGGACTGTCTTTTAAGGGGGGAATCCAGCAATGGAACTGGAAGTTCTAGAGCCATATTCTTTCCATAGTGCCAAAGTTATTGAGCTGCTACTCTCCTTACCTACTTCACTAAAGTGGCATACAGATTGGCATTGGCCTGATTCAAGAAACTTTTTTCACTTAGAAACCTGTGGCCTCGTCTCCAAAGCCATAGTTAAGACTTGAGGCACTCACCTAAATGCCCAAAGTATGTGCATTTTTCCCCTTTTCCTTTCAATTTTATTCTTCACTCTAAGTGCAGAAACTTGGCTCTGAACTATTATCTAAGCCAATGGTGTTCTGCTATTTCAGTTTTGTTTTCAGAAAGCTCTAAATGTGCCAAGGGAATAACTTATTCCAAGCTCAGCTTTTTATTTACTAATTTACTGATCACAAAACACCTGGCTCACAAGCATAGGGAAACTGTGGCTGTGCAGTAATTTCAAGTACAAGGGTACTTCAAAAAGTTCATGGAAAATAGAATTAAAAGATAGTACAAATCTTTCTTTGAACTTTTTGAAGTACCCTCATATGTGAGTCTTCATTTCTTATGGGATAGTTATTTACAGAAACTGTTCTTGCCAGTATCCATGGTTGCTTTGGAATCTCACCTTATTAATAATGTCTCTCCTTAGATTAATAGGATATGGAGCAAGCTGACCTACATGTCACAGATTATTCATTTCACCCATAAGGACAGAGAAGAAAACCCTTCAATATGGCTTAAGAAATTGAGTTATTTTTATTTGTTCCTTTTGCTCCTCTTTAATCTTCCAGGCCCACTCAAGGTAACAAAGCAGACAGGATCTTAAGTTTTTTCTGCTCCTTCCTGCAGAGGGTAGAATTGTTTACAACTACCATTGCATCACTCCATTGCTTAGTTGAGTATAGCAGTAGTGGGTCAGGTCCCCTAGACCCCAAGATCTTAAAGACCTATAGTGTAAAAGTCTGCCTGCCCAGGAATTCTCCTACATTTACAAACACCTCTGGCCATAGTGATATGTATTTTTTCCATATAAAATAAATATGGGCAGAAAATAAGGTTAGTTTTAGAAGTGTTGTTTATGGTTGGAGCTCTGTAAGAATCTTTTAAAGGGATAAGGGAACTAGTGACTATTAGTATAGCCATTACTTCAGCCCCTAAAACAAAATCACTGTTACGTGGAAAAATGGTTATTAGACCAGATTTTTACTCATCTGTCTAGAGCATTTCATGTCTACATGTATTGCTGTTTGTCTGCAAAGTGTCTAGTCTCTTTTAATCACTGCAAATAAAGCAATACCGAAAACTTGATGAGAGAGAATGCACCTTAGGGGAAGGGGCTTTATGTTTCAAGAGGGAAGAAAAAGGAAAGAGACCTCCTCCTGCCTTTTATAAGATCCAGCTTTTAAGTCTTACCTATGACTTTACCAGGGCAGGTTATAATATACCTTCTCCTATTGTTGGCCCTCTGCCTTCCATAGCTATCTTAAAAGCTGAAGTTTGAACTGCAGCATCTGCTTGACAGGTGCCAGGTTCCTCTTGGCAGGAGAAAGATCACTACTCTGTATCTTCCATTGCCTCAGATTCCTGTGGCCCCAAGGATCCCACCAAACCTCCTCATTCCCCCTAAACATGTTAAAAATCCCTTATTGTGGGTATGTAAATAACAATTACACTGTAAGCATATTTATGTGCTCTTTTTGTCTGGTTTATTTTTCTTTTCATCATGTATAATCTGAATCGAGCATTAGTTTCTCAAATCTTTCCCAAGTGTCTCCAGAATTTTTATATCTTAGCTTGTGTTACATAGAAGTAAAATATTAAGGAAAATAGATTTAAGATAAACTTGTGCAACTTTTTTTAAAGCATTGTTCTCAACCATTTAATTTATTGAAAGGAGATGCTGCTATGGTTCTTGATTTGGCAGCAGCCATTCTTTGTTTACATAGAGTTATAATTTTATTTGTTGTTTTGCTCTGTACTGGAAACATAAATAAAGTTTTCTACATTATTTTCAGTCAAGGGTTGTAGTATACTTTCTTTATGTTTGTAGTAATATGCACATTGTCCTTTTAGGATCTATCTCATGATGGAAAAAAGAGCTATTGGGTTCTTTTCAATATGAGTGATTATTTTAAGAGGGAGTATGTTGAAGAGCCACTGTGCTTAAATCAGGGTATAAATGAGACTGCCCCAGGTGCTTCCTTCTCACGTTCACAAAAGCAATCCTCCACCACTGAACTCCATTCTCTGAAAGAAGGAAAAGTAAATAGGTGAGGTGAATGAGTGTTGAAATAACTTCCTGAATCAATTACTTAATACTTTAATCACAATACTTTTATATATGTATTTTGCCTTATCCTTAAAAAATAACTTTCAAATGCCTAATCGTTCTTATTTATTAGGAAATGAATTCCAGTACCAATTCTAATTCCCCAGCATCAAATCAGTCAGCTATTCACTGTACATTGCAACTGCCCAAAATTCACCTATTCTTTTGCCTTACCTCAGGGGGCTCAATGAAGGCTAACCAGTCTGATGCATGTGTAGGCAACAGTCCCATGGACTGGCACTTGTAGACAGCCAATGCCAAACCCATCAGGTTCCCAATGAGATAGACCAAACCCTGAAGAAACTTCTGGCTTGAACTTTCTAGCATCTTGAAAGCTGTTGGGGTAACAGAAGCTGTCAAAACCAAAGCAACTTTTTTTTCAATATGAATCACGCCAACCATATATTAAAATAATACAGCCAGACCCACAATAAGATAGCAAGTAGGATCATTAAAGGCAAATAGAAAACCATGATAAGCACCTTTTCCCCCCTCCATCCCCCCACCACTACCACCACCACCCTGCATACCCTCTGGTCAAAAACTGCCTAAGAATTTGTCTTTAATTCTTAAAACTTAGGAAAGGGTTATTATTTCAAGAATACTTACTTGCTGAAATAGCCATAAGTGCCTGAATGGGTCGCCAGGCCATCATACACACCATCATAGTAGGGAAGATGGAGATAGTATTGCCTGCCATGTACATGATGAAGAGGTTCATGGGAATCTGTTTGAGGGGACCCAGGGCGATGTCCCAGCAGCGCTAAAACAAACACAATTTTAACCTCTAATCATTACCCTCAGTCCCACATTTACTGCATCACTGACACTAAAGTCAAATGAAGAGAATTCCCAATTCCTTGATTCTGACTGAACTAACTCCTCAGTTCTTCCACCTCTCCATGTTGCCACAGGAAGCTCTCCCTTCCACTAAAGGTAAGGCATCTTCACCATCTGTTATGCTTTTCCCTATAGGTTTTCCAGATGTCATTTTTTCTCCTGACTTTGGCTAAAAAAAAAAAAAAAAGATGTCCCTGCTTTTGGCCTTGTACTTCTGCATCTATCACTGTCTCATCTACAGTTGAAGAAATAGATAAATCCACATAGTGGGAGATTAGCAAACCTCAATAACGAATAGAACAAGCAGACAAGATTTGAGTGACATTAACAAACAACGCAACTAAAATATATACTGTACAATATTGCACCCAACAATTGCAGAATTCACATTCTTTTCAAACACACGGGACATTTACAAAAACTGACCATGTGCTGAGCCATAGAGAAAACGTCAGTCTCAAAGAACTCAAGTTATACAAAGCATGTTCCTTGACTACAATGCAATTAAGCTAGAAATCAATAATAAAAAGATAACTAGAAAATCTGTGTTTGGGAATTAACAAACGTACTCTAAATAACCCATGAATCAAGGAAATCACAATGGAAAATAGAAATATTATTAACTGATAACAAAAATGCCACATATTAAAACTTGTGGGACACAACTACAGCTTTGAGAAATTTATAAACTTAAATACATATTTAGAAGACCAAAAGTATCTAAGCTTCCATTTCAAGAAGCTATAAAAGAACAAATTAAACCCAAGGATTTTGAAAAGACAATAAAAATGAGAGCAGAAATTAATGAAATTAAATAAAGCCAAACGTGTTTTTTTTTTAAATACTCATAAAATCAGTACTGCAAGCCTGAATAAGAATAAAGAAAACAAATATTAAACTTTAGAAACAAAAAAAGGGACACCATCTCCACAGATCTTGCAGATATTAAAGTGATCATATTATGAACAACTTTATGTCAACAGATTTGAAATATTAGGAAATGGATAAATTCCTAGAAAAAAAGTGACTTACCAAAATGGCATAAGACATTAGAAATATAAATAGCCCTATAACTGCTAAAGAAATTGAATCTGTAGTATCAACCATACAATAGAATTTTTTTTTTTTCCTTTTTGTCTTTTTTCGTGACCGGCAACAGGATCGCAACCCTCGGTGTCACGCCTGCACCGCGCTCAACCAGTGAGCGGACCGGTCTCTATATGAGATCCGAACCCTCGGTGGGAGCGCCACCACACTCCCAAGCGCCACACACTACCGAGTGCGCCACTGGGCCAGCCTAGAATTTTTTTTTTTTTATTGTTCTAAAAGAAGTATTTTATGATATTCTACCTTTAAAATCAAGCCACTTTGGGCTGAGCAGTTAGCTCAGTTGGTTAGAGCATGGTGCTGATAACACCAAGGTCAAGGGTGCAATCCTTGTAACCAGCTAGCAGCCAAAAATAATGTCATTTTAATAAAAGTTTACTATCGTGTATTATTATAATTTGATGTACCAGTAAAATGATAGGATGGTATTTATTGGGAAAAGGGTTAATAATGGCTCTATCATTTTCATGTTGTGAAAATCACATGCATTCCATGAAACAAAGATCATTTAGTATTGAATAGTATTAAGGCTGAGAGGGAAATGTGAAAAGGAAAGAAGGTGCCAGGCACAAAATCCTGCTGTCATTGAGCTCACAAGAGTGGTTAGGCAGATGGGCAAAAAAAGTAAACTATACTATATATATGACTGCTATGGAGAAATATAAAGTAGGAAAACAGGATAAGGGAGTGCCATGAGGGTAGGCTGCACTAAGAAGGTAATATCTGAGGGATCTAAAGATGAGTGAGCAAGTCATGAAGGTATCTGGGAGAAGAGCATTCCAGGAAGAGGGAAGAACAAGCACAAAAGCCTGAAATGAGAACTTGTCTGGCATATTTAAGGAGCAGCAAGGAAGCCATTATGACTAGACTAGAGTCAACTAAAGAGGAAATGGTAGGAGTTGAGTTCAAAGATGTTAGAAGGTGCTTAATCAATGCAGTTATGCAGAACAGTAAAAGAGTTTGGCTTTTAATGTTGAATGAACGAGAGCTACGGGAGAGTTTTGAGTACGAATATCTGTCTTATGTTTCAAAGTATCATTTGATTGTTGTGCTGGGAATAGACTACAGGAGGCAAGGTGGAAGTATTAAGACAAGTTAAAAGTCTACAGAGAGGAACACAAGAATTTTAGGGGGATGAAAGATATGTTCTCTTTCAAGATGGCAGTGGTTTCATGGGGGTATACCACTGTCAAAGCTCATCAGATTGTACCCTTTAAATTAATGGGGGCAATCTGCCTCTTTGGTAATATTGGAGACATTTCTGGTTGTCACAACTAGGGAAGGGCACTATTGGCATCTAATGGGTAGAGGCCAAGCATGCTGCAAAACTTCCTAGCCTGCATAGTACAGCCCCCCACAAGTATTCAGCCCAAAATGTCAACAGCACTGAGGTTGAGAAACATGATTTAATTGAAGAGCTTATTGTACATAAACTATACCTAAAAATACATATGTATTTTTAAGTCTACTGTAGAAATCCGGGTGAAGGACTGTAGCTTAGACCAGGATGATAGGTGAAGGCAGTAAAAAGGATTAGAACTTGGTATATGTTTTGAAGGTAAAGCCAACAGAATATCCTAACAGACTGGATGTGTGGTGTAAAGAAACTACAGTAGTAAAGGACGACTTCAACTGGAAAGCACAACAGATCGTTTTCAACCTACTTCTTTTACCTTAGGTTCCAAACGTCTTTTATTTTTCCAATTTTTATGCACTTTTGGAGCTGATACTTAAACTACCGTTAAACTAGCAACAATAGTTTATTCCCAAATATTCAGGATAAGGGCTATCTACAGCAATGCTGCCTGGGAGAGGAGGGTGGGCGTGTAGGCCACGAGTGGTCCAAGGACTATGGTAACATCTATACCTCTGTACCTTCTCCACCAGGATCCGGTCTGTCTCTTGCACGCTGGTATCAGGCACTTGCTTGTCCAAGTAACCAACCGGGTACAGTGAGTCACCCTGGCCACTGCCCCGGTCACTTCGGCCCCTAAAGAACCAAACCAAGAAACTAAAGCTGCAACCTCCCAAACTTCATATCCCACATTTCCTGTTCTACCAATCATAGGAATAAAGATCCTCAGATGCACCTACCCAGATTAGACCAAGCCCCCTGGTGGGTTCGTCAGTCCCTTGCCTATTGGGAAGACTGAAATAAGAATCCTTTGGGCAAAGAAACAGCTACGGCGGAGAAGCCGCTATCTCCCCAGGTGACGTTTGTGTGCCACCCGTCCTTTTCAGAGAGTTGCGCCTGAGGGCTCAGGTCTCACTACTCTGGGGCTGTTCTGGGCTGAAGACTATGACATCGAGTTTCGCTCTAGCACCTCACCTGCTGCCTCCTCCAGGCCCGCTCAGCTCAATGGCCCATTTAAAGCGCCGGCCTCGGTTGGCCACCAGGCCCCCCTGAGCCGTCATGGCAACAGTCCCTTCCTAAGGCCGCGAAGCTTCTCACTCCAAAGCTTACTAGGCCACAAATACTCCGCCGTTCTCAACTTCTTCCTCTCACTCCGAAAGCCCACTTCCGGCCCATGGATATAGTCGTCACTTCCGCCCCGGAAATCGTCGGTCCTGCGGGTTGAAATGCGGAGTGGAGAGGAAAGCTGGAAAGACTTAAAGCTTTTTGAGGTGGCTTGCGCGCGTTCCCCCCTTTCTGAATAGGCCTGTTATGTGTACCCTGACCTGTGAGGTGCGCTTTACGGGGCAGAAGGAAAGTCCATATCGACTCTGCGTTAGGAATTGAAACCAAGAAAAGCTTCTTAGCTTCTTACGCGCTCCCGGAAACAGGAGATTCAAATCCTGTGTTTAAAATCCTGGCCTTACCACTGATTGTGTGGTGTTGAACGAGTTATTTAGTAACTTACGAATATTGAATGTCCCAGGAGCTTTGTGGTATTTAATTCGCACAGTACCCTTGCTGGGTAGGTAGTTTTATCCCCATTCTGTGCAAAGGCAAGGTGGTAGTATGGGCATGGAAAGGAACGTGGGCTCAGCATTCAGATGGCTTCCTTTTCTTTTTTCCTTTTTTTTTTTTTTTTATTTAAAGATGACCAGTAGGGGGATCTTAACCCTTGACTTGGTGTTGTCAGCACCACGCTCTCCCAAATGAGCTAACCGGCCATCCCTATACAGGGATCCGAACCCGTGGCCTTGGTGTTATCAGCACCACAATCTCCCAAGTGAGCCACGGGCTGGCTGTCAGATGGCTTCCTTTTCAATCCTAGCTTCACCATTTACTAATTGTTGGGAAAGATAAGTCCATTGTGTTTTAACTTCCTCATATGTAGAAGTTGGATAATCTACCTAGTTTCAATGCTATTGTGTGATTAAATGATACCAGCCACATGTGCATGATGTGTTTTTTAAATGTCATTGAACTAATCATTATTCATGGTGGTTGGGTTTTGTATTAAATTGTATGAATATGCCTGTATCATAATTTAACCTATTGGACATTTAAGTTGGTGGTCCCTCCCCCCCCTTTTTTTATAACCAGTGTTGCTGTGAATATCGTTTTTTCCTACTTCCTTAAGTTACACTCCTAGAAGTGGAATTGCTGGATCAAATAGTATGAACATTTAAAAAAGATTTTTTTGTTTAAAATGCCCACTAGGAAAACTGGCACAATTTACATTCCACCATCTTAATAATTTTTTTAAATTATCAGGTTGAAAATGATACTGTGTTATATTTTAATTTATATTTCTTTATGTGGCTGTAGTTGGGGGAAGGGAGGCTGCGAGAGTGGTTTAGGAGGTAAGGTTGAAAAGATCCTCCTTGGCCAACTAAAGAGTTTGGACCCTTGAAGATGATAATGATGGTCTGGAGACACTAAAGATTTCTACCCCCACATTGTTTTCATAGCGAACTGTTTGAACGAGGCAGAAATGGAAAAGTTTTGTCCCCCTCCAGTCCATTCTAAAAATGTATATTTATAGAAGACCCAGCTTGTAAATTACTTTCCTGCTTCTTTCTACTTTTCTGCCTTTACCACACTGTCTCTGATGAATCTTTGAGATTCATCTCAAGCGATTCCTCTTTGTCCCACTATTCTGCATAGTAACACTTACCACGTTGCTTTGTGTTTGTTGACATCCCCTGATTACTTCTACCCCTCTATACCCTACCCTAAATTCCTTGTGGGCAGAAACTATATGTTAGTTATCTTTGATTCCATAGCCTATTGCCTCAAACATATTAAGTACTGTGTTTAACAAATGTTTAGTGAGTATGTGAATCTGAGTAAATTAAATTGAAAGTAAATATAAATACCAAAGTATGAATATACTATAATACATTTATGTAAAATAAAATGTAAAAACTAGGATGTATATTAAAATATTAATATTGTATCAGAGTAATAGTTTTCATGTAATTTATCTAGTTTTTAAGATATTTTTGTAATGCTTTAATAAACTTTAAACGAACACTTGAATACATTAATTTGGTCATCAGAATCATATATTCCTTCTATTTAAAGTATTCCCCTACTTGCTATAAAAAATTTTAAACTATAACTCTAGTTAAAGTCACTTTGACCTCAGTGGGATACTCCAGGTCGTTTATTTCTTTATCCTAGGAATCCTCATAGTGTTATTTGTTAAAATGTGCTCCAAAAAAATGAAAACATTGGGACTGAACCGAGGTCAAACAAGTTTGAGAAATACTTTCTGTTATATTCTGTTATACACACCCAGAGAGGTTCTCGGTGCTATCAATATGACATTAAAACCATGAGAAATGTCAATAGAGAATCTTCTTCAATTTTGTTTCCCAATCTACATGAGTAAGGAACCCTTTTTCTTACCACACCTGTTAACATCTGGTGGAATCTGTTCCATAGAACACAGTGGGGGCAACTGCTCTTTGCATGCTATAATTCTTCAGGAGAAAGATGATAGTCCTCCCTATAAAGCTCTGCTTGTTCTTTTTTTAAAGATTATTAGAAAATCATTAGAAATAATAGATTCATTATGGAAATGGAGTTTCAAGTTGAAATTAAACTTTTGAGGATGCAAGTTTTTGCACAAATTGTATTTTGCAAGGAAAAGAAAACTAGTATAAGATTTTCCATAAGCCTGGCAACCTGGATTCTAATTCTGACTTCAAATGAACTACTTGAATAGCTTTGAGTTTGGCTTTCTTCTTGCTGTTGTTGTGTTTTTGTTTTTTGTTTATGGCAGCTGGCCTATTTTGGAATTATAACCCTTGACCCTTGTATTACCAACACTTGTCTTACCAATAGCACTCTGACCAACTGAGCTAACCAGCCAGCCCTAGTTGGGACTTTCTTGACCTTAATTTCCTCATCTATAAAGTAAGGGATTTAATTCTGGATGATTTCTAAGGGTATCTTCTAGTTCTAAAATGTATTATACTTGTTGGGTTTTTTGAGGTTTTTTTTCCCTCTATTTTTATATACGTGTTTTTTTTTAAGAACATTTTTCATACTATTCTTTATATATATATACTCATAGAAAAAAAGACTCAAATGATAGACACATAAAGGAGTAATGAGATTTAAGGTAATTTTTTTAAATTGTGCTTTCCTATACTTTTTCTAGTTCTCTATTGTGCAGGTACTACTTTTGTAGTTAGAAAAATATAAATGTTATTATTTATAACAAGATATGACTCTAAACCTAGAAACAGTGGTTCTCCGTTCTGGATACATGTGATAATCAACTCTAGAGCTCTTAAAAATTCTGGTGCCTGGCCCATACCTCCTGAGATTATGATTTATTTGCTTAGGGTGGGCCTACGCATCAGTATTTTATATGGCTCTTCAGGTGATTCTGCAGTGCAGCAAGGAATGAGAACCGCTGACTTAAACCATTCTGTTCTAAAATAAAAAGGTTCGAACTTTCACGAAGTAATTTAAGCAAGCAATCAGAAGTCTTTGAGAGCCTCCTTGTATGCCTCCCACTGGACTAAACCTGAATTGGAAAATGATGGGAATACTGAAATTGTAAAATAAATATAAAACTTCCCTTACTTTGTGCCTTTGAGCAAACACAGTTTTAATTAAAGAAAGTGTAAGAAAGCAAACCATGGTACCAGAACTTACATGAATTGCTTTGTTTGACTTTTATAATTTGTGCCATCTATACCATTTTTGTGTTTGTTTTAGTATCTCATCCTCCACCTCTTCCAAGGAGCCAAAGAACCTATTCCATGCCATTCTCTGAGCAGTTGCATTTGGAATGAAACCTGAACAAGGAAATTTTCTATTCAAACAACCAGATTTGCAAGACTGGATCCTTGTCGGTGATGGGAAGAGCTTTTACAGATATGCTTTAAGTTTTTGGTCTGTACCATTTGAGAATATGTCTATAATAATTCTATGTGGCTATCCTTCCTAATCCAACCAGTTTGCCCAGTGTGCTCTAAAAGCTCCTAAGCCTCGTTGCATCTTCAATAAAATGGACTTTTTATTTCATTTGCAATAAAATTGCAAATCCCAGTTATTTATTTTAATTTTACTATCATTATTGCCTTCTGGAAAAGGTCACCTTAAACTATGTTATTCATTTTATTTATGATACAATTTATTGTGTTAATAGTAGAATCTTAACAAGGGGAAATTTTTTTTCTCCATTTTGACTGCATTTTCAAACCCCTTTAGTGAAAATATATATACTTTTTTTTAATGAGATCCTACCTTACTAGTTACTGTTGGGTTGCTGCTTCATTTCTATGCAGATTACAATTTTTTTCTATTTCTGGTTCCTGGTTCTCAATTGTCATGAAATGCCCCCGTCAGCAGTGACATGTGCTAGTAGTACGGTGCTGGAAGGAGATATTGGTTAGTAATACCATTCTTCCTTAGCAATTATGTGTTCTTCATTTTAGTAGGGCTGTTGTGCAATTCACATTTTAACAAGTTCCCATTATAGCATGCCTCCCTCCAGCACTTGCTTAGGAAGCTGGGAGGATTGCCATTCCCACAGATCCCATTAAAGGATAAGAATGACAACCATAGCATGAGTCATAATGATACATCACTGATGACCTAACAGGTATCTCCAAGGTTGGTTATTCTGGATTCATTCTAGTGATTAATTCTGGCTATCTTGAAAGTGGGCTAACCTGTCTCGACAATCAAATATCTGAATAACTAATCCAGATCTTTGGGGCATTTTTTTTCCTATGTGCTAATTTTTAAAAAGCCTCAATCAGTTCAGATATAAATCATTGCTTTATAAGCTGAGTCTTTTGAAGGAGGATTGCTATGGACTGAATGTTTGTGTCCCCCTAGAACTCATGTTGAAACCCTAATTCCCAGTGTGATATTTGGAGATAGGGCCTTAGAGAAGTACTTAGGGTTTGATGAAGTAATGAGGGTGGAGCCCTCATGATAGCATTAGTGCTCTTATAAGAGGAGACACCAAAAAGTGCTCTCTGCCCCCCCCCACACCCTCCCCCCACCCTGCCATGTGAGAACACAGAAAGTGGCCATCCGCAAGCCAGGAAGAGAGCCCTAAACAGATGGCACCTTCATCTTGAACCTTCCCAACCTTCAGAACTGTGGGAAAATTAATTTCTCACAGTTGTTTAAGCTACCAGTATTTTGTTGTGGTAGCCCAAGCAGACTAATACAAGGATGAGAGGGGATTCAGATGAGTTGAGAGAGGACAATAGACACCTTTTAGTACTTGAAAGACAAAGTCATCCCTTAAAACATATACATACAGCTGCCAAAAAAAAAAAAAAGTACATAAATGTAGCATTGTTTAATTTGCTCATTATGTAAATAGGAACACTGTCACCAATTTGATTTTTTCACTTAATCTGTCATGGATGTCTTCCATGTCTGTCAAGCACATCTACCTCATTCTTCTTCAAGGTTGCAGAGTATACATGGCATGGACATATAATAATCTAGTTCATCCAAACCCAACTGATGGGCATTTCGGTTCCCATTTTTCACTATTACAAAAAATGTTGCCTGTGAACATCCTTGCCTACTTGTCAACACAGTTCTGTAGGAAAGTTATACAATACTATACCAAATGGATAGTTTACCACAGAGTTTATAAACTTAAAATGTTGATAGGTTCAAATAGGCATTCTAAAATGTACCAATTTACACTTCTAAGGGTCTCTGGACTAAATTATTTCTAGCATCTTGTAGCGGGTTGAATTGTAGTGTCCCCCCCCAAAATTCATATCCACCTGAGCCTCAGAATCTGACCTTATTTGGAAATACTGTCTTTGCAGAGGTATTGGTTAAGATTCGGTCATACTCGATTTTACGATGGGTCCCAAATCCAAAGATTAGCATCCTTATAAGAAAAGAGGTCACATAGACACACAGGGAAGAAGGCCATGAGAGAATGAAGGCACAGACTGGAGTGATGCAGCTATAAACCAAGAAAGCTAGGAAGAAGCAAGGAAGGGTCAGTCCCTAGAGCCTTCTGAGGGAGCATGGCCCTGCCCACGTGTCGATTTTCGACTTCTGTGAAAGAACCGTGAGAGTATATTTCTGTTGGTTTAAGCCACCCAGTTTATAGTACTTTGTTATGGCAGCTCTAGGAAATTAATACAAGTCTCTTTCTAAAAGAGCCTCCAAATGTACAAAACTAACCAGGGTTAGCTTAAGCAGTAAATAACAAGTAATACTGCCACTGTCGCTGAATCAAATCCCAAACTTTCAAAACTTTGCACAAAAAGTTTTGTTTAGGGGCCGGCCCGGTGGCGCACTGCTACAGTGCGCCGCTTGGGAGCGTGGCGGCGCTCCCGCCGAGGGTTCGGATCCCACATACAGACCGGTTCCCGCTCACTGGCTGAGCGAGGT